TATACATATATATAATATACATATTTCTAATAGACAATATTTTTATATTGTGTAGTACATGCTTCAAAGGACCCAGGACCAAGATGAAAATGTGGCTTTGGAGGCTTGTGAGTTCTGGCTGACTTTGGCTGAACAGCCAATTTGTAAAGATGTATTATGTCGGCATCTTACTAAGTAAGTATAAAGAATTACAGCTCCTATTTATTTTGAAATAGTCATCTTTAAACTTCAGTTGACTTGTTCCTGGTTATTCTTATAGATACTGTATCTAGCTTGCAGTATGCTTAGAAGAATTTTCCTGTAGCTAGTTCTTCTGCCTAATAAAAATGGCTGTAGTACAGAGTTCATTGAAAAGACTTTGAGGATTCCAAACTCAGTGACCTCCAGAAGCAACCTAAACTGTGTCACTGCAATGCTTTACCTCAAGCTTAACAGGCTGTTAAGCTTCACATGGATGCAAAGATGTGTTAACATTCACTAAACTCAAACAAACACCTCCCCATGACATTACCTGTAATACCTAGTGTACCGTGAACATGTTGTCTTGACTACTGCTGGTGTAGGAGTCTCTGTGCAATGCTTCTACGTGCATAGTCATGCAAAGGGTTACCCATTTTATAAAGAACATAACGAAACAGCTTGACACCACTTGGATTTAGGAATCAATTTTGTATCAATTGTTACTGCAATTGAAACTTGAAGAAAGCATGTGCAATGTGCTTCTTCATACTTCTGCAGCCTGATACTAGTTTAGGTTTCAAAAAATGTTTTTTGTAAGTTTCAAAAAGTTACCCTATGCCTCAAAATGTAGAACTTTGGTTAAATGGGAATGAATATCCATGTTTGAGATGTAAACATCTGCATGACTGCAACAGTGCTTGTAACTTTTTTCCAGGCTAATCTGAAGTATTTTGCAATAGGATTTGAATTCTTCAGTGTTCTCAGTAAATGAATACTCTTTGGTTTTATATGTGCATAGAAGGTTTTTGAAATTACTAGGGCAGTTCTGTCAAGATCTTGAGGAGAAGAACAGAATCACAGACAGAAGAGATGCATTGTTCTCAGCAAAAATAAGCATTATAGATATGAAGCAAATAAATCAACAAAATTTCAGGTTTCATAAGCAATTAGAAAGTAGAGAATTGTGATTAAAACACCTACTGTAGCAGTGGAGGAAAAGGTGTTGAAAACAGGAGAACGAATGTTATGAGAAATAATTTTAAAATTTTTAAATGGTTTTAAGTAATTTCTATTCTTGTAGCTCAAAAGACAAAAGAATGATAGCATAATTCTTGAGTCTACCCACCCCTTTCCCAACACACATCATGTTTATACTGAGAATAACGGTACTTATTAATGAGTAGTTAATAACTTAAGTTTATATTGAGAATAACAGTTGTTATTAACTGCGAGTTAATAACTATGAGTATTAAACCTCTTTTGGCCTACATGAACATTGACACTGCAACAGTGTCATACTCAATTTTTTTTTTTTTTTAAGAAAAAGCTTTTAAATTTCTAGAAAAAACAAATACGAGTAACATTCCATTTCTCTCATGATCTTTCAGTGTCATGTTTGTTGAAAGCAACTTATTTGTTGGTGAGTCCTGTTTGATTAGAGAGCTATATAAGTTTGTCAATACTTGATGATAATCTTAAAATTTTTTATGTTAAATTAGAAGTGGTCCAAGATCTAAAAACCTGTTCATGTGGTATCTAACATCTTGTTCCATTTTGCTCCTGTAGGCTTTCTTATAAAATACATTGCTCCTGCATACTTCATGAAGTATGCTGCAGAAATGCCAATGAATTGGTGATAATGTGTATACTTACTATTCCTTCATTCAAAGTTCAGAAGGTAATGTGCCATTGCAATGCGTGGATATTATTGCTGGCCTGGTACCTTCCAAAGCAATACTTCTCAGCTGCAGAATATAGAGAGATTGAGTCTGTCACTGGTGCTGGGCCAGTCCATGGTCATTATTAGCTTGATTTGACTTGCAATACATATTTTTGTGCATTTTTTTTTTTGGTGGAGAATATGTTTTTATGTGAAGTATTTGACTTTTTTTGCTTAGTACATTTTTTATCTATACATCTGCACAATTGGAGTCCCATAGCCATAACCAGTTTAATAACAAAGTAAATCCTGATACAGATTAGTCAAGATCTCTGCAGTGTTGGGGACTTGTCTTATTGAAGTAATCACAAAAGGATAAGAGGGCTTAATGTAGGTAGGCTTCCATCTTTGAGTAGTGAGGTAGTCTTCAGCCACAAGTAAATAAAGTGACAGGTACTATTGGTGAGAGCCAACTTGTTTGTCATGCATATTATGAGAATTTGAATTCTTACTGAAAACCTTTAGACTTAATTTCTAAAAGGTGCTTCAGAATAAATTCATCATATGAAATAATATCTGATTTTTAAAGTTTAAAACTCAGTTGTGCCATGTGGCTACCTCTAGTTTGTAATTTGAAATTAACACTTTTTCAGATTACAAAGTATTGATGACCCTTACGACGTGGAGGTTGGTTTAGGTACTAGCTTTTGTTATCAGATGAAGGCTTTTTTTTATTTTGGGTTGAGGGGATGAGGGTTACAACTAAAATTGTGGCCCAGGTAACTGAAAACTGACTTGCCTTTTTATATGCTATTTTGACATGTATTAATATTTCTTTGTAGGCTGATACCTGTGCTGGTAAATGGTATGAAATATTCAGAGATTGATATTATTCTGTTGAAGGTATGTATCAATTTCTTTTACTCTGTAAACCTATCTAGTTAGCTTCTGATCTATAAATCGGAATGATTCAGATAGGAATGGGCTGATCTGGGCTACCATCTGTTCAATGGAGAGTTAGCTTTCTGGGGCAAGGTGTGCTGTTTCAAATACTAAATGCGACTGCTGCTATGTTTGGTGGAAAATAATCTGTGGGCTTTCTTGCTTTGCTCCTGTGCCCTCCTGGGCAACTTAGGCAGAGCTGGGATACTATTACCCGTGAGCTACTACAACAATGCACCATAAAAAAAAAATGTTCAGAATTAGTTCTAATGCCTTCTAGATTGAATACACGGCTTTTTCCATTACAACATTTTAGAACATGTCTGTGTACCAGAATTTCTCTATCACTACTTCTTGCTATTTCATTCCCATCAAGAGTAATTTCTTAACAAATGGATACTTTGTGCATGAGCTTACCTCTCTTGCTTTTATCTTCCTGTTGTTATTCTGGTAAATGCAGCAGCAGAATGCAGGGACAACTGCATTTTTAGTCAGCTGAGCAGCACAAGTGGGATGGGAATCTTTTACATGCTTATAAAATCTTGAACTAAAACTAGATTCTTAACTTCCTTGAGCAGTATAGTTGGACTAATTTATCTGATAAAACATTTTGGTGACAGGGGGATGTTGAAGAAGATGAAGCTATTCCAGATAGTGAACAGGACATAAGACCTCGTTTTCATCGTTCACGGACAGTGGCTCAGCAACATGAAGAAGATGGTATTGAAGATGATGACGATGATGATGATGAACTTGATGATGATGATACTATTTCTGACTGGAATTTAAGTATGTCAAAGTAATGTGTAAAATGTTTTCAAATAGAACTACTTGCATAACACAAGAACAACAGTAAAAAGAGGACTTTGTGTATAGGAATACTAAGGCTTTGCTTTTGAATACAGAGAGAAATACCTGTTGACATAATTGGTGGATGGGGTGGAGGGTCAGTCTTTCAGGTGACACTTGGACTATGTAACTGTACTGGCAAAAGCTAGCCATCTGTAAGCTTAGTTCTTATTTTGAATATGGCAGATCGAGCTCTACAAACATTTACTGGATGCAATTCAACAGAACTTTTGGACTTAAAATTTTAATGCTACAAGATAATAAACCGTGTATCACCTGTTTAACTTCAGGTTTTTTTAAAAAAAGCACTTACACATTGATAGCTGGAGGAAGCTTAATAATGCTTTCTTTTTCTTTACTGAAAAGACAAACACAAACAGTTCGTGTGTTTCATTTTGTTTGTTGTTTTGGTTTTTTTTCCATGTGAAAATGCTACTACTGATTGCCATTACCAGTAGTTCTTTTCTATGTGAGGAATTTGCTTCTGACCAGAATATAGTACCTTAGTTACGAAGAGAGGAGATAGCTGTGAGGAAACCACAGTCCTAATAGCCTGTGTATGTGTCATAGGACCTTTAGGCCAATAGGCCATGTAGTAAGGAAAGAAAACACCACAAACTGATTTTTAAACTGAGTGATAGAAAATAGCTAGTGAAATTCTGACAAATCTGACTTATATGTACTTTGCAAGCAGCCTTATCGTGGAATAGTATTTTGAGATTCGGACACATCCACATAATTTTTTTTTTCTTCCACGACCTGAAGTTTTCACAACAGGTTAATGTACCTTGGATCTTATGGTCAAACAATTTTTAGACATATCTGAATTACTATTATTATTATTATTGTTGTTATTTTTTTAGAAGAAAATAGAAGTGCAGATATGCCTGTTTCCATTCAGCCTTGTTTTTAAAAAAAGTATAATTTTAGATTCAGAATGCTGTTCTTGTCACTGCTGTGTGCAGAGATTGCAGAATTAAATACATATTTTCTGAAAAAGATAGCCGAAATGACAGAGGGTGCGTTGTGGTCCACAGTTTTGATTAAGATGGTGAGGAAGCTAAAGTTGTCCAGGAACAGTGGCCTGAAAGAGCAGAACAGTTAAGAAATATGTATTGACATATGTTATCTGGATTTGAGAGAATCTGGATTATCTGAAAATCAGCACTGTGTGCCCTATTTCTTATCCAGTGTTCTATATTTGAATTCCAATTTGAACAGAGAGGAAGTGTCAGTGTAGCCTGACAATTAGCAGCATTGCTTACTAATGAGACCAGTTGGATCCTTTATGACAGATTAAGAAGGAACAGAGATCATAATAAGCCAAAAGTGCAGTATAAATTCTGTAACACAATCATTCTTTATAAAACACCTTAGCATTATTTTTTCTAGATGTGACACCACCACAGCAGGAAAACAGAGTAAGGATTTCTAAATAATGTTTTGAAGTTGTTCTTGATTTTTCTTTTATGAGCTTTTATTTGCTAAAAACGTGGGATTCAAACTTTGAAAAAAATTTTGAGAAGTTCCTCTTCATATTGGTGCTTCAAAAAAACAGGAGTAAAGTATAAATGCTTACAGCAGACCCAGCAAATTCTTTTCAGTCTAGAGTTAGATGATTTTGCCTTTTTTTTAGTTTGAGACATGGATCATGTTTGAGCATTTTCTTTTGAATCAAATACTAGTATTTTTAGGCCATTTCTCCTTAGTTTCTCCAGTATGTTACATTCATGTCACAGATCTTCCATCTTCCTTAGTATTACGCCATCCTGAAATGATGTAGTATATATAATGTTGCAGTATAATGGCATGGTTCCTATCAGTGAGTCTTTTAATATCCCCAATGTAGAAGTCATTTTATTGGCTATTTAAGTGCTGCAAAACTGGCTTTCTATGAGTTGTGATTTTGCACTGGAGCACAGTGGATTACTGTGTATTATAATGAAATGGAAGTATCTTTCCTCTTAATGCCCGGAGACTCCACTGTCAGCTCAAAGTTAAAATAAGGATTATATTGCCTAACTACAACTACTTGTATAATAAGCAGAGATTAACACTGTTAATTCCCCTCAGGGAAATGTTCTGCTGCTGCTCTAGATGTCCTAGCCAATGTATTCCGTGATGAACTTCTGCCACACATCTTGCCCCTTTTGAAGGAATTGCTCTTCCATCCTGAATGGGTAGTTAAAGAATCTGGTATTCTTGTTCTTGGAGCAATTGCTGAAGGTAAGGCAACAGTGCATATCAGGTTACTGAATTTTTGATTGGTTCTAAAGCAGCTCTGTGATTCCTTCCAGGTGAATTTACTTATGCAAACAAGTATATGACCTTAGCTGGTTTGGTTTTGGTGATTAATCTCTACATCTACTAATTGGTGACTGCAGTTATTTAATGTTTTCATTTACAAATCTATGCATGTTTGGGAGGCTAAATAGCTTAGATAATTTCTTTTATTTCTCCGTTTCTTGACTCTACAGCCTTTATTTATTGGTCTGTCATGAAACACTACCTTGATTTCATAAAGAGGAATATTTAATAAATTTAAGCCTTATATTTCATTCAAGTGTTTTCAGAAATGGAGAAGACCACTCCTGTGACTTCAGTGCCCTGAGATGCTTTTTGTGGATGGTTCTCCAATTTAAATATAACTTCCATTCCTTTGTACTTACAGTCTTGCTTGGCTCTTTGCCTGCATTTCCAGCATCTCTGTCCCTTTTGCAAGCTGAAGGAATACATGTGGGTCCATGCCTGGATTATCTTTCTTTTCCCACAGTGCCTAGTGAACATTCTTTTTTCTTTGTTAATAGAAAACTTTTTTGTTGGTTTTGATTTCAAATGAAGCAAGGTAGAAGTTAGTACTTCTGGCTAATCTCAGTATATTACTGTCCCTTGCTGACTTGAAACGTGTAGCTTTTATTGCTGGTTGGTATTTGTGTGATATTAGGAGAAAACAAGAAGAAATTTAAATTTCCTAAGGAATCGTTTTAATGATGTGATGATTTGTTGTCAAGACCTAGTCTTTCTCTACTTGTTGTCTTGGTTACTCTGACTAGACTGACATAGGACCTCCAAGCTTTATAAACGCATTTTATTTGGACGTACTTGCCATACTCCATTTAATAAAGCAGAATTTCTGGAGACTGGGGAGACGTTGAAGTAGAAATGTAGTTGAAATCAATGTAACTTTAATTAGTCATTTTAATTATTGTTTATGTAAAGTTTCCTTTTAGGACTTAATATAAATTAGGTAGACTTGCTTTATTTATTGTTAAAATATATTCCTCCATGATAGAGAATGAAAATATGTCCTTTCTAGGAAACAGAATAACAATAGAACTTTTTGTTAATTCTGGTACTGCAATAGCTATATTTTTCCTTCTAGGCTGCATGCAGGGTATGATTCCATATCTTCCTGAGCTGATCCCTCACCTTATTCAGTGCCTCTCTGACAAAAAGGCTCTTGTGCGCTCCATTACATGCTGGACTCTTAGTCGCTATGCACACTGGGTAGTTAGTCAACCCCCAGACACATACTTGAAGCCATTAATGACTGAGTTGCTAAAGCGTATCCTGGATAGCAACAAGAGGGTACAAGAAGCTGCCTGCAGGTAAGCCAAAGCTTGAGCAAGAAGCACTATCCATGACACTGCTTTTTGATGGGAAATGAATGCATGGCTCCATTAAAAAAAAAAATTAGTGGCACCATTAATGGAATGGGTGCACCTTTTGTGCAGGAAGCTCATCAAATAAAGCTTTTATATGTCAGTTTGTAAGGGGCAGGAGTGTACACAGCAGACTGCCAAGAAGGTTTCTTCATAAAGCAGAGTTAGATGTGCATCTGGTTGTATTCTTAACACTTGAAACAAGCAAATATTTTTTTAAGTGGCGATGATATTATTATTACATCCCACACCTAAGTATCAGTAGTGCCTAAGGACAAGGGTGAGGTGAAAGTTCTTGTGCTAAGTTTTGCACAAAGGGAGTAGATGTGTCCTTGCCTGAGAACAGATACAATGAATTTAATGAAATGTACTTAGTAAGATTTGAGTATTAAACACTGTTTACTTTTTGTCTCTAAACCTTTTCAAACATTGGGCTAGCAAATTTGTTGGGCTTTAACGTCTGCTCCATTCTGTCTTTTCATAGTGATAGTCTTCTGTTCCTTCCTGAATGGGCAGGAAAATGGTGATACAAGACTACTTGCTTCATGCATTTTCAGATCCAAGGAATCAGATTATGTACAGATTCTATTTAAAGAAAAAAAAAAAAAACAAAAAACAAAACCCCAAACCAAACAAACCACAACACCAAAAACCTCCCCCCAACAACAAACAAAAACCCCACACTTCTGTTCATACTTTCCTTGTCCAAAACATGGTTGAAATGTGCATGTAGCTGAATACAGATGTGTTGCAGCTGTTAAATAACCTTTTGTAGGAAGGGCAGTGGGCTGTGGAAACTGTTAAAGCAATAAGAAAGAGATATGGAAATGGAAATGGAAATATTAAAAATAACAGTACACCTGATTTTATTTTTTTTTATTTCAGAGTTCAATATCAGATTTATAGCTTGTTTTGAAATCCTTTCTTTAGAACAGAGATTCATTAAAGTTACTGTTGCAGCTAAAAAATAAACTGGGAAACTCCACTTTAAGGAAAATGTAGAGCTCTTACAAATCAAAACATACTTACTAGCTTTCTAAATTGCAAGGAAATACAGTGCTCCTTCTTGGAGAGGAGCAAAAAGCTGCATCCCTACAGTGAATAGTTGCACAGATCGTTAATGTCTACCAAATTGAAGATTGGTCATAGGATACTGTTATGTTGTTATCACTAACTTCTGTATCATGGCAGATGTCTAACGTTCATTTCTGTACTGTTGAGAAGCTGATCCTTTAGTTGGTGATGCCCTTTAGTTGGTGACAGAAATGAAACATGCTTTCCTGCTCACGTTGTATGCCTTTCTGAAAGAATACTTCATAATAATATCATAAAATAATAAATAAATAAAATAAGAACGCTAGCCAGTTATTATTCACAGTTGCATTTTAAGAAAAAGGCATTTCTGTATTTGGTAGCATGCTAGTAAGGGATTGTTCACAGACGAATAATAACCTTGCTGGCACAAGTTAGGCCAGTAAATCTTCAATCGCTCCTAATTATTTCATTTCCTCAATGTTTCTCTGAAGCAGCATGTCTGGTGTGTGTGAGGTTTTTTTATTTGGTTTGGGTGGGATTTTTTAATGCTGTTGTTCAAACATTTGACAGACAACCTGGGAAGTTGCCATGATGCCATATGAGCTTTGACCAAGGCTGGCTGAAATTGTTCATGCCCTGTCTTTGATTTTGGTTTTCCATGTCTTTCTGGATCTGTGTTTCTGTGTAGTGAAATGCTAAGAGTACAGGCTGATGTTGGCGTTGTAGTGGCACAACAGTACTAGGGCTTCTAGGTGCAGCTACCACATACATTAAAGATAGTGGGCTGTTTTTAACTTAAGAAAACAGCTTTTTTTTATGGTTCCTACTATTTCAGTTAGTATACTATAACTTGTGTACAGTAATGCTTTTCTTGGTGGGGGCTTCCTGCATATACATAACAGGTTTTATGGCAATATTTTTAAGTTTTGCTCATCACAATGTAAAAGCTGAATCCTTATGTGTTCAATCAAAATAGTTCAAGGTTATGTCAGTAATACCATTTTGAAAACATGTCTTGGATGAATTTGAGGAGTAAAAGTTTTATGTTTACACAGAAGTGGGTAGTGTGGGGCATTTTGTGATCATCTTATTTTGTTTTTTCCAGGATACTAACTGGCCTGTTTTTTTGTCCCTTAGTGCCTTTGCTACTCTAGAAGAGGAGGCTTGTACAGAGCTTGTTCCTTATCTTGCATATATACTTGACACTTTGGTCTTCGCATTTAGTAAATACCAGCATAAAAACCTGCTCATTCTTTATGATGCTATAGGAACTCTAGCAGATTCTGTAGGACATCATCTAAATAAACCAGTGAGTATACCTTATGTTCTGCAGAAGCACTCATCATAATTGAAAAACTGGTTCAGTGTTTTTTGCAATGTGCTTTACATGTTATAAAACAGAAATGCTGTTATTTCTGTGTAGGTTTCAGTAAGACTAAATATTTACAGGTAAAATACATAGACCGCATGTAATTTTCCCACTACACAAATATTTGCCATTTTGAATAAACAATTGTATGCGGTGGCTTGTGAAATGTGCTTCTCATCATGATTTTTTTTTCTGATGCTCAGAATTGTTCAGATCAGAGGACATACATATATCAATATAGATATTAAATGGGACTTTAGAGAAATCGGTGCAATGTGTGTTTTCATTTCTAATGACCAGACTTTTTTAGTAACCACTTTAAATATAGCTAAGCTACTCTGTCTTTTTCCGATGTATTGGAGCACATCATCACTAGAAATTGCGTTATCACAGAGTGAGACAGGCATTCATTTTATATATAAAAACACAGAATCTGCTGGACAAAGCATATATAACACTCAGACAAATATGGCGGGGGGGTGTTAGTGTATGTGTGTTAATTAATAGACTACGCAAACATGTCACATGCATCTTCTTATGATGGTTACTGTAGTTTGGTTTATTTCTCTATAGTGCTTCACATGACAGACACACTAGAATAAAACAATTTGAGGTGTTTCCATGGCATTTTACTTGCCATCTGAGACCTCCCACCATCAAAGGACCTCTTTTTCAGTCTTTCTCTGGCCCTGGCTACCTTGACATTTGACAGTACCAGGAGGAAGCTAAATGGGAACTCCTGGTGATGGTGGGAATTTCTTCAGTCACCTGGACTTTTGTATCTTTGGACATAGCATTAGCTAGCAGCATATGTTGGCTCTTTATATACCTTCTGGGAGCAACCACACTATAGGGACACCTTGCTCAGGGTCCTTCTGACTGTGGCTGTGCGTTGGCAGGGAAGATTGCAACAGTTTTACACAACAGAGGTAGGTGCAGCATTCTGGAGGGATAGGAAATTACTTTCTTCATGGATTGTTAGTTGCTTGAGGAAGAAGTTTCAGGAACTTCAGGGGATAGCGTTGTAGCATCAGGGCAATGGAAAATAGTTGAGACAAGCAGGTGGCAGATGCACAGCTAGATTGCATTGCTAGTAAAAACATTTTCCATAGACCTTGAGGCAGTCATATAGATTTGTAAAAACCCAGACAGCTAGACTGAAACCAAACCTGGAGGAAAAGATTCAATCTGCAAAGGTACTTAAGTGCTTCAGCAAAAAATCTTAAGACACAAATTGTAAATTCTAGTATTAAACTACTTCTATATATTGCAATGATTGAATTAGAGTACATCAGAGGGTTTTTGCTGATAGAGTAGAATATATATCAATTCTTAATACATCAATTTTCTAGCTTTGAAATAAAACAGTATGCAGTGAAGTGTTTCAGCAGCTGATGCATTTTCATCCTAAACAGGAATATATTCAGATGCTAATGCCTCCATTAATCCAGAAGTGGAACATGTTGAAGGATGAAGATAAAGATCTCTTCCCTTTATTAGAGGTAAATGTTAAAATTTGAATATTTTTTATCAACTTATTTTAGGAATTACACTTTTCTACTAAAGATGCTCCGACTAGGAAGTATGACTATAAAAGCTGACACTGTTAGGTATTTCCCATCATGGAGAAAGTATTCTGACTGTAGTAAGAAAAATTTTGTGACTGAGGAAATGTCATTAGGTTTAGCAGAAACCTTTTAGATTTTTTTTCTGCAATTCTGGAATGTTTTCTTTGATGGGATTCTTTTAGGGGGGGTGGAAAAAAGTTCCAGTCTCCTTTTATTCTTGTGTTCTCTCTCCTTGCTGTCCCTTCATCTCTCTATTAAAACTGTTGTCACACAAGCTGAAGGTATGAACCAGACCGTGTAGTCTATGTACTTCCCAAGTGTGCAGCAGGAAAGTACCTCTAGAAAAATTAGTTTCCTAACTCCTAGGTAATGATAGGGCTTGTACATGGTCAGGATACTGAAGCTTAGCGTAAGTGCTGGCTGAATTATTGTAACTGTTTTTGTATGCACTTTCTTGGCTACCTATAAGAAGATGCTACTGATGAGAAATTTTCTCAGCTGACTGCGTAGAAGAGAGTAAAAACTTGCTGATAGTTGCCTTGGCTCAGCTAATTGGTGCTGCCTTTCTAGATTGTGTTCACTGTATCAGTTACGTGTGGGTATACTTAAAATGCTAGTATCTTTTAATTTACCTCTCCCAGGTAAAAAGTACCTCAGGGATGTGAGGACAGGTAGTGACTGTTTTCTTTCCTTTTGTTTTTTTGGTTTTGTTTTTATTTTTTTTTCTTTTAATTCCAGTGCCTGTCATCAGTTGCTACTGCCTTGCAGTCTGGCTTTCTTCCATACTGTGAACCTGTGTACCAGCGTTGTGTAAATCTGGTGCAGAAGACCCTTGCACAAGCCATGGTATTTTTCTATTGCTATTCCAATGTTTTCAGAATACCTCCTTAAACCAATGTATTAACTATGTAAAGTTACAGGTTTGCAGGGAGATTTGTAGTATAACCATTGAATATCTAAATTAAGCTGAAACTCTTTTTTTTACGCACACCACTGAGAAAAATCTAATACTCATTTTGAAAATGCATACTTGTTTGTTGCAGTTGCACAATGCTCAGCCAGACCAATATGAGGCTCCAGATAAAGATTTCATGATTGTTGCTCTTGATTTACTCAGTGGTTTAGCGGAAGGACTTGGAGGCAACATTGAACAGCTAGTGGCTCGCAGCAATATCCTGACACTAATGTACCAATGCATGCAGGTGAGATGAGTAACCTGTTTGATCCAAGGATTTTCTTTCTTAAGAGAATCAGAAACACTTCTGGAATTGTCATTTTTTATTTCCTTTCTTTAGGATAAAATGCCTGAGGTACGGCAGAGTTCTTTTGCATTGTTAGGTGATCTGACAAAGGCGTGTTTTCAGCATGTTAAACCTTGCATCGGTATGTTTCTTTTGCATATTAAACAAATTGTTTTACAAACTGCTAAGAGGCTGGTTTAGCCATTGTTAAGCTCTGTATTCTGTGGGTTGCCTTTTCATGGTGGTTTAAGTTTTCATTTTCCTTTAACAGCAAGGGTCTGTAGTCTTTTCTCCTTTGAATTGTGTGCTGAAAAGACTTGTTCTTATTTTTGTAAATAGTGCAAAAGTTCATTTTTGTCCTTGATTTTTATAATGTAACAAGTTACCTGTTGTGCTGGAATGCAGCGAACCAGATGTACTTAGATTTCAATTAGAATAGCTGCTTGCTTTGATATGTTCTTGAATGTATAGCTTTTTTTGTTCTACAAGAATTTATTGTTACATAAAATTATATATATATTGAAATTAGAAAACTTGGCTAGAGTGTAGGTTTTTGTTTAACTTTGTTTTTAATTTCAGTAGGGTAGTAGCATCAGGTATACTTGTCCATGATATTTGCTGTCTCTGCACGCAGATGCTCTTGAGATACACTTAACTTGCCAAATGAATGCTTGGATAGGCTTGGAATTTAAAATTTATTTGGCAGGTGTTACGATCTATTTTTCTGACTAATTTTTTCTTAAAATTTAATCAAAGATGTGATTGCCTTCTAGGCTTCATTGTTTTTTCAAGCATAGCTGAATACATAGCTATCCAGGTGATTTGAGGGTTGTTAAACTATATTATAAAACTTCAAGTACTTGTAGCCGTGTTTTTTTACCTTCTCCCCTCTCTCCCCTCGCCCCAGCAAGGGAAGGGGAGGGGGGAAAAAAGCTTTTCTAGAGTTACATAAAGCCTATTAGAAACATTTTAAAATCATAATTTGAAAAGATTTGCATTGATCTGCTTAGGTTCTAAAATCCAGCTTAATCTGATATATAGCAGAAATATGGTTCTTGTTAATTCATGTCTAACACTTTCCAAGCATTTAAATAGGCTTACAAGATTTTTTTTAAAGAAAATTCTTTTTTTTTTTCCCCCCTGTGATCTTACAGTAAGACAGGACAAGATGGTTGTATTGTGTGATGAGATTTTAAAATGTTGTTCTTTCTAGCTGATTTCATGCCAATTTTGGGAACCAACCTAAACCCCGAATTCATTTCTGTGTGTAACAATGCCACCTGGGCAATTGGAGAAATCTCCATCCAGATGGGTAAGATTTATTTTTTTCATTGAATCTCTGCACATTTAGCATGGTTTGTCTGGGTGTTTTATGGGTTTCTTTTAGTGATACTTTCATGTTAAAATTTAAATTAAATTTGAGATTCTTGTCCTTGTTAGTAAGTTCAGTTTACCCAATCTATTTAGATTATGTATATTAATGGTCATTTTCTTCTGAATCTTTTCTTTTTGGCTGTTCCAGGTATAGAGATGCAGCCTTATATTCCAATGGTGTTGCACCAGCTTGTAGAAATAATTAACAGACCCAACACACCAAAGACGTTGTTAGAGAACACAGGTACCCAAAAACTGAACCGTACATGGTGAAGGGAATTAGAGATTATTTTTTTTTATAATGATTTTTAAAATTGCATAAGGGAAGCAGACCAGAACTCATTTTATTGCTATGTATATGACTTTTATAAGCAAAAGCAACTCTCTTTTGCAGAAGCTCTTACAAGTCTCAGTCTTGCAGCAAACCATCTATCATGTATCTAGATTGTTAAAGTTACTGCTTTCTCACTTTTGTAACATTTATTGTATTTATCATCTATTTAATTAGGTATTCTTCTAGTTCTATTTATGTATTGAATATGACAAATGTATGCAGTAACACTTAGATTAGTTCACACTGATATTAATATATGCATGTCCTTACACAGGTACTGTATATATGTTTGTCTAGTGTTTGAAACAAATGTAATTGGCATATATAAAACAAATAATGAAGTCTTTGAATTTACAAAAAATGCACTTTTTTTTTTTAAGTTAAACTTGTAGTATCATGCACAAAAATCTAGATCTGTGATGGCAGTTTTACCACAACATAACTGCAATTATGTATAACTTCTATTACCTGGTCAATTAATAACAAACTTTGGAAAAGAATTCTAATAATGGCATGCACGTTTTATGTTCTGGCCCACAGCTTTGCCTTCCAAATTGGGAGCAATCCCCAAATGCATTACTGAATTGGAATTTCTGAGGCTTGTTTCTTTTGCATTTACAGAGGGCACGTTCTGGTATGAAGAGCACCTTCCATACTTCAACAAAACTTTATTAATAATTTGACAGGTTTCTGGTTTACAATTTTACTAATTGAGAATAAATTTTTTTCTGTTTGAAAACTGTCTTGCAAGAAAATGACAGTCTAGTCATTATACTTGACTTGATTGAAAATGGTGCAAACTCAGTGGTACAGTTATATTTTCTGAGCTAAGCAAGACATAAATTGGAGAGAGATTTTCAATGCAGATTTTTCCTCTGGTATTCTCTAAACGTAAAAGTTGTGCTTTCTCTGCCCCCCTAACCTCGTTTAGTATGGAAGGTGAACTTGAAGGAAAATTTACTTAGTTGTCTGGCATATTATAGGTACTACTTTTTCAAAAGATAATTTTGGAGCAAATACCTTCTTGTTGTGAAATATACCATGGAACAGTATAGCAATATAAATTTTCTTTTTCCCTGACCTGACCCCCTTCATTTGCACTAATGGATGTGTAATACCTGTAACTGAGAGGCATCCAGTACTTAAATGTTTGCTTCCATCATAGTTAGAGAATTTTTGGAAGCATCCAAACACTGACTTCTTTTTTCCTTTTTTTTTTTTCTTTTTTTTTTTGTTATTCTCTTAATAGTTACTTTAAATGTGGATGCATAACTGCAAATAAATGTTGAATGTGGTGTACTTATTATAAGTTTGTTGTGGGATATTGTGCTGCATGCCACTAGTATGTGCAAGAAATGTTACTGTTTTCTGCTTTAGATTGATATGTAACGAGCTATGAAAACACTTCTATGGGAACATGAGACCACCTTAAGTAAAAGTAATTGCATAGAAAATAACCAGTACATGCCAAAAAGTTGAGCTTTGACAGAGATTACTATTCCTTGTACAGACTGTAGCTGTGAGAATTTACAGATAAAACTTAAAAGTGTATTTTCATTTGAAACTAGCAGTTTTATCAGTTAGATCTGCCAAAAATTTTAGACACTGCATATTGAAATTTAGTAACATTAGGGCAAAACAGTACATTACCAATGAGCTGCAGCTTTCCTGGAATGAGTATGTTTCAAACTGCTAGTATATCCTACACCAAACTTTTATTGGAGAAAGCATCATCTGCTTTATTGCATGTTTCATGAAACTGTTCACAAATGCCTGTTAATTAGAGTGTTGCATAGTATGTCCCTTGAACATAGGTTTCCTTTCTCTGCTTCATATAAATCTGCTGGATTTTAGTATTATTCATGTATTTTGCTTCAAGTAATCCTGATACATTATTCCCCACCCTCTCCTTTTTCTAAAGATTAATCTTTTGTGAGTTGAGCAAACACCATTAAAACACATTTGCATGATGCTATTTTCTTCAGTCTGTCCCTCAGAACAAAGGACCAAACTACCTAATTATGTGATGAAGCAATTTTGCTTTTCATGTGTCCTTATGGCTTGGTATCAGAAGTCAGATTCTTACACGATTTCTATGAGGAAGCCTTTTGTGAACAGGAGAAACATTGGGATTAAAGAATTAATTTTCTGCACTCGGTTGCTGTGAGCTAGCAACCACTTTAAATCATCTATGAGAGTATGAGGAAGACAAATATTTGGTGTTCTTTGAGAAGTGTTTCATCTATTTAGCATTTTTAGATAGACCACAATATTTTCAATGTAAAAGTATTTGTAAAGGTATTTTTACTGATAGATCTATTAAAATCTTGAATTTTAGATATTGAAAAAAATAAAATATTTTGAATTATTGATACTAAATCTGAAAGTGGTTAATTCCTTTTGATCAAGAGTATCCATAATAGTACATTTGAATAAAAACTTTGAAATGTATGGTAGGTAAATTTACTGTAAGAGATTACTCTGAAGAGGGCAGAATGACTGCTTACATCAGAAAGCCTTCGGATTTTAAATTGTGTTTTTGGTGTTCTCTCATTTACTTCTTTAATTTTTCTTTTCCCTGGAGAGTATACCATATATGTTGCTGCCTCTTATTTAGGGGGTGGTAATAAACAGCACTGGTGAAATCTTATGTTTATTATCATACACAGATTCTGTTGGTTTCTGTTTCTGAGTTATTTGTTGTTTTTTCTTTATTTTTTCTCCTCCCCCCTCATTTGCTCATGTCTTGGTTGGCGTTTGGTGGTGTATAACCGTGATTGCGTTACCTTAGCAATAACAATTGGTCGTCTTGGTTACGTTTGTCCTCAAGAGGTGGCCCCCATGCTACAGCAGTTTATAAGACCCTGGTGTGTATTATTCAATCTTTTTTTTTAATTCATTTTTCTTCACTCTCTTTCTTTCTTTCTTCTCTCTATCTCACTTTTAGATATATTTTCAGTTGGTTACAAAATCTCAATCCTTAATCATTGCCAACCATGTGACTAATCTTGTCCTATCAGGTTTGTGAGTTTTTAGTAGCACCGTCATGTATTCTTTCTGTTGTGGCTAACGACTAATTTATGCATGGGATAAGATTGTCACATGCTTGCTGTGTTAAAGCTTGACTATGAAAGAGCATTTTAAAATCCACCAGAATGATAATACAATGCATGCAAATACTGTAAAATTTAAACCGTGCATTACTTTACTTAAAATTCAGTCCGAGGCTTGAATTGCTGTAAGGAATATATGTTTATAGATTTGTTATGTATAAAATATCTTGCTTGCTGCTATAAAAGTTAAATAACTGTTCTGTAAGTGGTATCTGACATAATTCATACTGTAATAGTATTATATGTTCCACTTCTAATAATGATAGTTTCTATAAATATTTCAGATACATGTTTCTTCTGTATTTAATGGAATGCAAGTCACACTTTCTAACTGTATATAGTGCAACAGGAGAACAAGATTCTGGAGATGATGCCTAATTGGAATATGCTAGTAAAGACTGTGCCACAAGTGTTTTTCTAAGTGTTCAAAGTAGTGTTTCAGATCATCTTATCAGTGTGACTTATTCCATCAAATACTGTCATCTAGTTCTGACTTGATTGAAGAGAAAGTAATAGAGTTAGCTAAGTTTTGCTCTCCCAACTTGCTAGGTGCACCTCTCTGCGAAACATAAGAGACAATGAGGAAAAGGATTCAGCGTTCCGTGGGATATGTACCATGATCTCAGTCAACCCCAGTGGAGTAGTCCAAGTAAGATACATGAAAAGATCTTAACTTCTTTTCTTGACTCATGTTAAAATTAGTGAAAGTTGTATGTGGAGCATGAAAATGTTTAGCTTGATATGATTCCCTGCAGTATATGATGTAGCTTTATCTTGAGGTCAAGGAGACCAAAATGTTTATATGCAAATGATACATATCATGATGCTTCAGTAATTACCACCTAGCAAAGGAAAGGAGAAGAGTATTGTTAAATTCAGTTTTTGTCTTTTACTTACAAAGACTAAATAATGAACTTTGATTAAAATAACTGTATTTTGGTACTTCTGTCAGGTTGTGGTCAGGATCTGTATGAAAATATAACACAAAAGTTGACATACTTAAACCTATTTTCCAAATGTAACCTAGGCTTTTAAAACAAGAAACAGAACAAAACCAGTAACCACCCCTTCATTCTTAAAACTTGGGTAGGGAAGATTCTATTTCAACTTTGGATATTGCTTAAATAGTCAATGTGACAAGGAACATGCATCTCTTTAAAATAAATGGTACATCTGAAGAATAGAATATGACTTGCACTTTAGTCTGCACACTTCCAAACTAAAGCTGTACCAATGTAATATTTTCTAAGAGGAAAATGAAGGTGATTTTTGCCTCTCCTCTGCCTGAAATTCTTCTTCCTGAAACACAAGAATTTAGCCTCTACCTTGTTTTGAAATTTTCAGTTCATCTCACTTGTGCCTTATTCTGTATTTAGCATTTCCCTCTTCTGCTGTCGATTTGTTCTTTCACACAGCTTAAGGGGAGAGGATAATTAAGAATTCTTCTCATTTTCCCATCTTTCCTTCTCCATAGTTATCCTCAGTTCCTACCCAAAACTATGTGCATTATCAACTTAATGATTAAAGACTGGTGTTTTAAGGGTATAGAAGGAGGTGTGCATGACAGCAGATGAACTAAGCCTAGGGATTTTGGGGTAGCTTTAGTTTTGAACCTGTATGATAAACATCGTGTGTGTCCGAGAAAAAACTTCTAGCTTTGTTTAAAGAAATACAAGAGCTTTTTTCCCCAACTGGAAACGCGTGAGAGAGAGAGAGTGCTGCAACTGTGGTCTTAAGTTTGTTGCTTGTTATTAAAGTGATTGGTTCTTGAACTTGGCATGTGTACTGAAATAACGTTAGACAAGTGTGGTGTGGGAGGGCAGAGTTGTGGGGGTTTTTTTCAGTTGTGGTTTCATTTAATCAAAAACCTGATTAAACAAAGCTACTCCTAAACTCAGCTATTTCTGTTTCTGAACACTTAGGCATACAATAACTTAGCGTTACTGTCTGAATTAACTGGAAAATACATACATAAAAACAAAAGCACTTGTGAATTAGGATGAAAGACCCTGCATAGTTCATACAATGAACTTCAAATGTTGTTTTCAAACCTATAAATTGAGGTTTCTAACCTATGTGATTGTTTAATCTTATAGGACTTTATTTTTTTTTGTGATGCTGTTGCATCGTGGATTAGCCCAAAAGATGATCTCCGAGACATGTTCTGTAAGGTAAGATTTGTAATATAACAGTATATCCTAACGGTGGTTGTTTTGGATCCTCTGTTTTTTTTCTTGCTTTCTGTTTCCACTGTTAGCACTTACTGGATTTGTGGTTATGGAGGCTTCTTTGCAAGGTCATAAATTTTCAGACAAAACAACATAAAAATCCTGACTTTTTTTTTTTAACCTATATTTTCTTATATGCATTTGGGTTATTCCAAACTTTTTTTAACGGTATTGAAAAGTTCACTTGAGATCTTATTTGAAGGGACAGTCATCCCCAAAGAGCTTTTCATAATGTCCATCCTACTATGTTTTGCCTGCATTTGGAAGAACATGGGGCTTTATACCACATTTAAGACTTTTCTAGAAAATGAGATTTGTATGGTTCAAGACTTTTTGCCACAAAGATGCCTACTTTATTTCTGAGAAATATCTAGAAAATTGCAAATGAAAAATATTCCAGTGGTATCCTGATCTGTTGCTCTTACTCCTGCCGAAAATAAGTTTTCAGGATTGCTTAATCCTCCTCAGAATCCATCTTGGATGAGCAAGTTTCATGAACCTAACGTACAGTTATATGCAAGAATACATCCCTAGACAAAGCGTCGAGTGTAAAATAAGAAAAAAAAAAAACACCCAGAATGTGACACATTGTGTTTTGGCACTGGTGTCCGAGATTAAAAATAATAAAAGAAACTTCAGTTTCATGAACAGATGCTGTTAATGTTCATTAGTGTGGCTCCCCTCATAAGCTGTAAAGTGAAATCTCTGGTTTTAGGAAGGATGCATGTCAGAAGTTCATGATAGTCCACTTAAAGCAAAAATGGAGCATATTCCTAAGTACTTATTAGGATCATGGGTCAGTATTGGCACGTTTTGTTCAAGTAACGCCATGTGTGAACATCAGAACAGAAGCTAGAACTTTTCTATCCCATCTTTAAGAGCAAAGACAGAAATCATAGAATCATTTGGGCTGGAAG